TGATGTCCCCAGAGTGAGTTCATGAAAGATTGTTATGCTAAACCCTGCAGGTGGATTAAGTTCCGGCATAATAAGAATGTGATGAACGAGCACTAGCTTCGGTGAAATAATAATAAATTAATTAATTCTTGATTGTCAGTAATCGAATTAATTAATGAACATTGTATCTTAAACGTGAGGAGGTAAATCGAGTAATTATTATTGGAGTCTCAAATGTAATTTAGGCTAGGAAAAGGGAGTGTAATGATATAATATTGGTGGCCCATTAATATTATTTAATTAACTAGAGGAGTGGGCTTGGCCTACAGTTAGTCTAATTAATTAAGTTGTCTTTTTTCTAATCTCCTAATGGTCCCTACTGTAGCTCTATATATATATATATATATATTATTAAGCTCATGAGAAGAGAACAGAATTCCTATTCTAACGTGAGACGTCCCACGCCTCTCTCTCTCTAGATATCATTCGAGCTTTATATTTTTCTTGTTGTTCCACTGGAACAAGTTGAAGAAGGGTGTATTGAGTAATACAGTAGAAGATCTGCATGTAAACCGAGACGAAATATATTTTGTCCTACAGAACTAACCGGAGGTCCGATTGAGACGCACAGCATACCTAGACGACCGTCTCGACGAGAGCTTTCCATCTCCGCCGAGATCGCCATATTCCGACGCCGCACGCGCACTCACGCGCCGCCGAAATCCGTCTGACTACAAGATCTGTTGTCATCTGTTTGCACCTGTTTGATCCGGTTTTGATCTGATCTTGTTCGTGCAACCCAAGATGTGATTTGAGGTCAACCGTTCGTGGTCAACCAGATCTACATAAATTTTAAGTCGTAAGTTTTCTACGTCAAACCTTTAGATCCGCTGCGCATAGGTTTATGTTTGCTATTGAATTCGTGACTTGTACATAACGAGATCCTAACAGATCCCAACATTTATACCCATTCATTTTATTTTCCTCGATTTCCATTCTATTAATGAATGAGTTAAACCCAACCAGGCTGGCCAGAGATCTTAGACTTCCTCCTTTCTTCTCATCTCTTGAGAAGATATCATTCCAATCCCCCAGTATGTGCCATGATTCTCCCCAGTTGGCTTTAGCTTTCTCCAAATCATCCCATTGTAATTGTCTAGTGAACTGGCAAGTGCTTACATGCACAAAGATTCCCCATGAGAGAGGAGAGTCAATTGCTATTCTGTATTCAACTACAATATAAAAGGTTTGGCTGATAATTTGGGTGATCTGAACTTCAGGGGACCAGCATAGAAGTAGTCCTCCACTTAACCCCACTGGATCAACAATAGCAAATCTAGTCTCATAACCTAATTTCCTGACAACTGATTTCACAAAAGCTGAAGTATTTTAGTCTCAAACAAGAAAAGAAAAGTTGGGTGGTGAGCCTTGCATGACTCTCTGATTTGGAAAATTGTAGAGGGCCCACCCAGCCCTCTACAATTCCACACCACATCTAACATTGGGAACTTGGGTGCCAATCAAGGCTGTCCACCCCCACCTTCTCAGTCTCTGTCTTTTGCTTTTTATTCTCTTCTTGGTCTGAATTTTCTGTGATCAAATCTGGATTATTGTTATCAAGACTTGATCTTGGTCTCTTTGAGGACTGGTGATCCTCTTTAGTAAGAGATTCTATGTTTTGCCTCTGAAGCCTGCCTATTCTTGAAGTGGATCTTTTCCAAACTCTGGTCTTAGGCAAGAAGGTGTCATGGATAGCAACTTGCAGGTGGTTTTCTACTTTCATTTCTTTGGGGTTTTCTTGATGGGTAGGAAGAGAGAAGGTATCTGCTATTATGAGTTGTGAGGAAGAAGTGTTTTCAGGTTGTTGGTCCATAGGCTCTGGGCAGAGATGGTTAGTTTGTGAAGAAGATGCATTTGAGATTGGTAAGATTTTATTAGAAGGAGAGCCTTGAATAGAAAGAATTTTATTATTGTATGCTCCTGGACTGTTAGTAGTATGTATGGGTGTGGCTGTTTGAGAGGGAGATGAGGGATTTTCAGAACGAGGAGGACTCTGAGAGCCAGAGTTATTAATACCTGCCCAGTGATGATTTTCTGCTGCTCTCATCCAAGCACCATATTGCGCTTCATGGAGTGATTGTGAGCGGATATCATCTGTTCTTCTGGAACATGCTCTGTTTAAGTGTCCAATGAAGCCGCAGTAATGGCAGTGGTTGACTAGTTTTTCATATTTAAAGCATACACTCACGGTATCCTCTGAAAATCTAAGGTTTGCACATTGAGGCAACGGTTCATTTAGATCAACTGAAACAAGAAGACGCATAATTCTTCCCCCGTGACTTCCTACCCCTACTATCACAACATTATGCACTTGCTTGAAAACTCTACCTATTTTTAATCCCACTTCAGTACTGAGCCAGTCAAGGGGAACGTTAAATACCTGAACCCAGAGCTGCAATTCTTGAAATGTGGAGTGCGTGGGAGAAAGACCCTTAATCCATTCAGAGAGAATTGGATACTGGTTCTCGTAAATCCAGTGAATACCTTTGGTCACTTTTTCTTTGTTATCTTTGCTCTGGAATATAAACTGGTAGTAGTTCGGTCCTAATTCCTTGACCTCCATTGGTTGAGTAAGTCTCCGAATGTGATTCATTGCCCTCTTGAATCCAATCCAGCTAGTCCTTCTATCACCAACTATTTTCCCAAATAGACTTCTCTGACATTCCTCGGCACTGAATTTAATGTCGTCTGTGCCTATATCAATGAAAGAATGCTCTTTTCCGACAATGAGAATCCTTGGAGCTTCTGTGCCAAGTCCTCGTCTTGGCCCACACAATTGGGGGCACTCATAGTAGAACCCTAATTTGAATTGAATGAATTTGGAGAAAACGATGGTAAAGAGACTCAGTTTAGATTGAGCGATGAGTGCTATCGATTGAGAGAACAAGATTGAAGAGTTCCGAAATCTGGATCGCTCTCCGCCGAGAGAATATGGATCGCTCTCCGCCGAGAGAATATGGCCCATATATCTCATTATTATGGTAAATATAGAACAATTATGTGTGTTAATTATCCGTGAATATCGTATGATTGATTTTATAGCTAATTTGCATTTGAATTTGAAAATATATCAAGCAGTGAACATATAAAATCAAATGTTTTCAATATTAATCATATGTTTTCATAATTTGAATTTCAAATTGAAGCTAGCCTCCCATTTAAAAAAAAATCGAAAAAATGTACAAATAATAGTAATAATGAATTTTTTGGTGGAATTTTAATTTTTTTTTTTCAGTAAATCTCTATTCCTATTATATACTAATAGATTTTTTTTTCAAAGAAAAAAATGATACGAAATTCAANAATTCAATTAATACGCACTAATTATCTATGGGTTATCAATTGATTTTGATTTACCAAAATTATTAGATTTTTTTTTTATTGCAAATATATTCATACGTTTTTAATATATATGTATCATGTTTAAAAAATCTCACATTTTTCAAATTCAATGCTTTCCAAATTTTATGGGATATCAATGATTGTATTTTCAAAACCTAAAAATTTGTAAATTTAAAGAGATACATAAAGATTTAGTTAAGAAAGAGAAAAATGATCAATTTAGTTACCTAAAAAAATGGTTTGGCAATATCCTATTAAAATATCAAAATTTTGTACCATTAATCACGGGAGTGTTTTTATTTGTTACTTATAATAGTAAGTCAACCATTATTTTTTAAGTCAAAGTTACTATTTATGTATTTTTTCAACCACCTCTCTATATTACTATAGATTTTATTATATATGTATCATAACAAAATCTATCATTATATTTTTATCTCATACTTATGCACAATATTAAAATTATTTATTTATTTGTTCACTTTTTTATCTCTATATATGTAGGCCTTTAGTTTTATGGCATTGGGGCCTCATGGCGAATAAATGAATGGGCTCGAGGCTGCCCCAAATAAGTGAGCTAGCTCCCAGCGTAGATAAGTGAGTTCTGTCCAGCTGTGTATGAGTGAGCTCGGCCCCAAGTGTGGATATGTGAGCTCGGTCCCAACGTGATTGAGTGAGCTCGGTCCAGCCGTGTATGAGTGAGCTCTGCCCCCAGTGTGGATATGTGAGCTCGATCCCAGCGTGAATGAGTGAGCTCGTTCCAGCCGTGTATAAGTGAGCTCGGCCCTAGCATAGATAAATGAGCTCGAAGGCGCGCGAATACGAAATGACCCGGTAGAGCTGGGGCTCGTCAGTAGACGAATAATAAATCGGTCCGGTAGAGCTAGGGCTCGTCGGCGTACGAATAAGAAATCGGTCCGGTCTCGTCGGTGGATGAATAATAAATCGGTCTGGTAGCGGTGCGGCTCGTCAGCGGACAAATAAGAAATCACTCTGGTAGAGCTGCGGCTCATCGGCGAACGAATAAGAAATCGACCTGGTAGAGCTAGGTTTGTCGTCGGGCGAATAAGAAATCAACTCGGTAAAGCTGGGGCTCGTCGTCGGTCGAATAAGAAATCTACCCGGTAGAGCTGGGCTCGTCGTAGGTCGAATAAAAAATCGACCTGGTAGAGCTTGGGCTCATCATCGGGCAAATAAGAAATCGACCCAGTAGAGTTGGGCTCATCGTCGGGCGAATAAGAAATCGATCCGGTAGTGAATAATATGTTCGGTCCCTTTCCTTTTCACCGCCCACAGTTTCTTCTTTCTTGGGCTTAATGGCCCAATATGTAGAATAGAAAAAAGAAGCTTCTGACATTGACTAGGATATGTGCTTCAAGATGTGACTTCGTCCAAATCCGACAGTTGATGCTTTTCGTACGGGCCTGGGCCCCAATAGTTGCCGTTGGATGAGGGGACGATCTGACCGTGGTCGATGACAGAGGGATTCATCCTGGCGACAGTCGGTTGCGCTAAAAGGCTTAATAATTGGTCGTGTCCGAGTGGCGATACTGCTTAGTAATTGGCCGAAAGAGGGAGCCGGCACGGCGATTTGGGTGCATCCGTCGACAGAGCGATTCATGAGGTCAGATCCGGCGTCCCAGGTCGGCCGTGGTTGCGATTCGGGGCTCACTGACCGTGAGGCCGGGCCCCGGTTTGAGTATTCGACCGTGGTGTCGAGGTTGATCAATTTATGGAGGTTGGCCGGCTTTTGGCAGCAGCAGCTAAGTCGGGCGTGGTTAGGTAGGGTCCTAATTGTAGATTTTGCGGGCTGAGCTTGACTTCAATGACGGTAGTGGCTCAGGTCTTGATTTGGGGAATCGGGTTTATGTGAGGTCGGCCCGGCTATGGAAGTGGGCCGGCTGTTATGGCCGAAACTGTTCGGGCTGCAATTTTGTGGACAACAACAGTGAAGTCGCCCGAGCTGTTGTTTTGGATGCCAGGTCAGTTTGAAGTGGCCATTCTTTACTCTTTCTATTTTTTGTTTCGTGTGGGCTGATGTGAAATTGAGCCTACTAACATCCTAGGCCCAAGCCCAACAGCTGCATAATGAAACATGCGGCCCGCCAAAAAATCACAACCGGTCCATCCCAGTTGTTCGCTATTCGGAATTGGAGAGTTTGGCTCGACTGTGATGTTGCCATTTTTCTTGATTTTGCCGTTCTTCCATTTTTAGAAAGGCTGGAATTTTTTCGGCAAACACCCAAAAGTTCAGTTGCTGTACTTGGTAAAAACGAGAGGATGCGGTGGCCACTGGCCGCCACATGCTGTCAGTTTCGGAGGCGGCGAGTGCTGCTCGGGTTTTGCTGTGGAATTTTTCCTCCGGGCGGCTGGGATGTGGATTCGGCTGCAGCTAAGAGGTGATGTTAGTCGACGCTAGGTTGTTCGCTGGTTGTCGGCTACGCTGAGTGTTTGTCCCATTTTTGTTGCGTTTTTCGTTATTTTTTTGCCTTTCTTTTTCCCCCGTTTTAAGTCTTCGTTGTTTTTTAGTCAGTTTTATGGTTTGTTGCGTGTTTACTTTTATTTTGGTTTTTTTTCAGCGTTTTCTTTTGTTTTCTCCGTTTTCATATGTTTTTTGTGTTTTTGGTTGAAGGAGAGCAGGTGGTTCTGATCAAGACTTGAATACCCTTTTTCTAGTTATCGATCAAAGAGTTTCAGCCCATGACGTGCCACCGAAATCCTGCGACCAACGGGAACTGTTGAGATCTGTGAGGATCTCATTATGTACAAGTCACGAATTCAATAGCAAACGTAAACCTATGCGCAGCGGATCTAAAGGTTTGACGTAGACAACTTACGGCTTAAAATTTATGTAGATCTGGTTGACCACGAACGGTTGACCGCAAATCACGTCTTAGGTCGCACGAACAAGATCAGATCAAAACTGGATCAAACGGATGCAAACGGATCAAAACGAAACTTTGCAGCCTAGTAGCTTCCGGCGGCGCGTGAGGGCGCGTGCAGCGTTGGATTTTGGCGATCTCAGCGGCAATGGAAAGCTCTCGTCGAGACGGTCGTCTGGGTATGCTGTATGTCTCAATCAGACTTCCGTTTAGTCTTGTAGGTCAAAATATATTTTGTCTCGGTTTACCTACAGATCTTCTACTTTATTACTCAATAGACCCTTTTTCAACTTGTACCAGTGGAGCAACAAGAAGAAGATAAAGCTTGAATGAGATCTAGAGAGAGAGAGAGAGGCGTGTGAGGCGTGTCCCATTAGAATAGGAATTCACTTCCCTTCTCATGAGCTTAATGATGTATGCATAGGGCTACAGTAGGGACCCTTAGGAGATTAGGAAAAGGGCTCCTTAATTAATTAGACTAGCTGTGGGCCAAGCCCACTCCTCTAATTAATTAAATAATATTAATGGACCACCAACATCATATTATTGCACTCCATTTTCCTAGTCCAAATTACATTTGAGACTCCAATAATAATTACTCGATTTACATCCCCACGTTTAAGATATAATATCCATTAATTAATTCGATTACTGACAATCAAGAATTAATTAATTTATTATTATTTCACTGAAGCTAGCACTCGTTCATCACATTCTTATTATGCCGGAACTTAATCCACCTGCAGGGTTTAGCATAACAATCCTTCATGAACTCACTCCGGAGACATCATCAAACTAACGCATATGGTGACAGTAAGTATCCTAACAGCACATCGTATATATAATAATATTACCCAAAACAGTAGGAATATTAATTCAGCGAACTGAAAGGTAACATACCTTTTTTGGAATCCTGAATGCTGAATCTGGCCAAGACAGTATCTATGTATGAAGACTGGGATAAACACAACATTCTCTTCTTACGGTCTCTAATGAGCCTAATACCAAGAATGTGTCCTGCTTCACCTAAGTCCTTCATATCAAACTGCTTAGACAACCACACCTTTACGTCTGACAACTCCTTCTTACTGTTTCCAATAAGCAGTATGTCATCTATGTAAAGCACAAGAAACACCACCACGCTCCCACTGATTTTCTTGTAAACACAGTTCTCATCCGGACATTGAGTGAACCCGTACGACTGGATCACCTCATCAAAACGGATGTTCCAAGATCTCGAAGTTTGTTTCAGTCCATAAATAGACCGATTAAGCTTACACACTAGATGCTCACGACCTTCAGCAATGAATCCTCTAGTTTCTGCATATAGATGTCTTCCTGCAGGTTCCCATTAAGGAAAGTTGTCTTGACATCCATCTGCTAGACCTCATAGTCCATATGAGCGGCTACAACCAAGAGAATTCGAATGGACTTAAGCATAGCTACTGGCAAAAATGTCTCATCATAATCAATACCCTCGATCTGGGTATAACCTTTCGCAATAAGCCTAGCTTTAAAGGTTTGTACCTTCCCATCCGATCCTCTCTTTCTCTTATAGATCCACTTACATCCAATGGGTCGTACCCCATCGGGTGGTTCTACAAGATCCCAGACCTGATTGGAATCCATTGACCCCATTTCAGCTTTCATTGCAACATTCCATGAATCTGCATCTTTATCTTGGAGTGCCTCATCGTAAGTTCTTGGGTCCGATTCTAGGCCTCCTGGAACTGAGTCCGATGACTCTCTAAGACCTATCCATCGGTCGGGCAAATGAAAAACCCTCCCACTGCGACGAGGCACTGTCTGCACTGGTACACTCTCAGTGTGCCGTGTTGCAGTACTATGTGATATATCTACTTGCGCACTCGGTGGGGAACCATCGATTTCACCCCTTAACTCCTTTAAGACTAGTTTACTCGCGGGCTTATGATTCATAATATAGTCTTCGAACGTTTCTCCAACTTGCCAGGTTCCTGCACTAACACGTGTGCAGGGCTACCCCAAACTCGAAACTGTGAGAAACTGGGTTTGCGCCCTTTCCACATCTCATAAGGGGTAGTGTCAACTGACTTCGATGGAACCATATTCAGAATATACGATGTCTTTTTCAATGCTAGACCCCCAGAACGAATCTGGTAACCTCGAATAACTCATCATAGACCTAACCATCTCCATAAGAGTCCTATTTCTTCGCTCTGCAACCCCATTCTGCTGGGGCGTGCCGGGTGCAGTCAGTTCGGATTCAATCTCAGCTTCCGATAAGTATGTCCTGAACTCTCCAAAGAGGTATTCGCCACCTCGATCAGAACGAAGTGACTTGATACATTTACCATGAAGCTTCTCGACAACTGCCCGATACTCCTTGAATTTCTCAAAGCATTCAGACTTGCGGTGCAACAAATAAACGTACCCAAATCTCGAGTAATCATCTATGAAAGACACATAGTACTCGAAACCTCCTCTAGCCTGGATCGACATAGGATCACACAAATCAGAATGAATCAAACCTAGCACTTCTTGGCTCCTATACCCCATTACCGTAAACGGCCTCTTGGCCATCTTACCTTCCAGGCAGGATTCACAAGTTGGATAGTGCTCTTCCAATGGACCGAGATGTCCACTGCCCACTAACTTTTGAATCCTCCTAAGGTTGATGTGCCCAAGTCTAAGGTGCCACAGATATGCTTGATTCATCTGCGAAGACTCCTTCCTCTTATTAGATGTAGTTATGACATTATTCAACTCATTATGTTGCACTGTGGGAGAGTTTGGTTTGAGAACATACAAATTGCCAACTAATGAACCATAACATAATGAAACGATTTCCAAAACGAATAATAACCATGTCATCAAACGATACTGAAAAACCATCCATAACGAGTTTAGAAACTGAAACAAGGTTCTTTCTAAAGCTAGGAACATAAAGACAATTTCTCAAAACCAAACTACTACTATCAAACAATAAAGTAACGTCTCCCACTGCAACAGCCACCACTTTCGTAGCATTGCCCATGTAGACGTTGATCTCTCCCTTCCTAAGTCGCTTGGTTTCCTGGAACCCCTGCAAAGAATTGCAGACATGATCAGTGGCTCTAGTATCTACACACCAGGTTCTGGTAGATACAACCGCTAAACATGTTTCTACGACATTAACGAGAGAGTTACCTTTCTTGAGGAGAGGGCAATCGACCTTCCTGTGTCCTGACTTGTTGCACTTGTGGCATCTTTCTTTCGGTTTCTTTGCCACAGCCTGAGGGGCCGGTCGTTGGTAAACCGGAGCATCATGTGCCTTCGCCTTTCCTGCAGACTTCTTTCTCTTCCTGCCCTTGTGAGGCCTGGAAGGTCCAGCCTGGTCGGCAACTAGCACCTGAGGTGCCTGAGTGAATAAGGCCTCCGCCGGCTGTAGCTCTGCAAGCAGTTCTGCAAGAGCCATATGCATCTTGTGCATGTTGTAGTTCAACCGGAACTGATCAAAACTCTTCGGCAGAGATTGGAGCATAATATCAACCTGGGTTTTCCCGTCAATATAACCTCCCATAACCTCAAGCTCATTGAGCTGCGCCATAACCCTGAGGGCGTGCTCCCTTACAGGTGTGCCCTCGGCCATGCGCGTACTCATCAGAGCACTCAAAGCCTCTTGCCTAGCAGCCCTAGACTGATGTCCGAACAGATCCCTGAGATTGAGAAGTATATCTACTGCAGTGTCCTTAGACTGATGCTGATGTTGAAGAACATTCGACATAGAAGCTAGAATGTAACACTTCGCCATCTCATCAGTCTTCTTCCACCGAGCATACTCCTCTTTCTCCTGCTCAGGAGCATCAGCCGCCGGCACCGCCGGGCAAGCATCAGCGATAACAAACTTATAACCCTCAGCAGTCAACACTATGTCTAAGTTCCTCTTCGAATCAATGTAATTAGGACCAGTAAGCTGATTTTCTTTTAGAATGACTGACAACGGATTGAACGACATGATGAATATCCTGAGAATCATGTACATAAATTTTACAGATTAAACACTTTTGAGTTTAACTGTTAATATTGATATCCTCAAAACAACTTTAACTTAAATCCACCGACATCTATTACACCTTGTGAGAATGCATGCTACGAGGGTCGCCCTACAAACTCGCATTTTGTAAGAGAAGGGTTTTTCTAAGGCCTATTAATTTCTATAAGTCAAAACCAAATTAATGACGAACGAAATTAATAGTCGGTCTCCATTTGGCCATGCAATAGAATTCAGGGACCCCGAAGGGGGTTAATAAATTTGATCGCATTCTAAGTGAATCCCATTTCTCGGTCCTAAGATCGTCAAAAAAATTTGATTATACGTCATTCGAGGGGAAGCTCATACGCTCTCATAAGATTTCCTCTAACCATCTAAATTTAAAAATTTGGCCTGGTAATTTCCTACAATTAATTTTAGCAGTGTCACCCGAGGGGGAGCCCATAACCGCAACTAATTGATTTACCGACAAATTAGAAATGGAGGCCTTAGGAATTTTACAATTAACTTTAATTTAAAATCCCTTTTCAAACTTAGTATTATTTTAATGAGGATTTTGAACTATTTATACAATTCCAAATTAATCTATGTTAATGCAATAATTAATAAACATGCATATTAATTCATGCAATTCTAAATTAATCTATGTTAATGCAATAATTAATTAACATGTTCAATAATTTATGCAAGTCTAAATTAATCCATGTCAATGCAATAATTAATTAACATGCATAATTTATTGACACAATTCTAAATTAATCCTATGCATTACATAATTAATTAACATGCATAATTAATCTTGCAATACTAAATTAATCCCATGGAAGAACATAATTAATTAACATGCATGAATAATAATTTAATGGCATAATAAATTTAATTAAATAAATAAATAAATCCACTATTATGGCCATTAAATATTGAGTCTCCTTAAACAAGGAAACTGTGACAGTTCTTTCCCTGTTCAACTGGAACTCCTTTAAACAGTAAAATCCTGGTTGATCTTGTACTGCTTGGACATCAAGGCAAAACCTCTCCACCTCCCTGCAAGCCGCCGCCGACTGCCGCCTCTGGCCACCGCCCGGCCGTCCGCCGGTGGTCGGAAATCCTTTTTTTTTCTTCGAGGCTCGTTGATCTCTTGTGATCTCCCGGTCATCAACACACGATCACAACACGAAGAATATAATTTACAAAATTACATAATTCGATCCTAGATCCAACGAATGGATGTACATGTTTTCTAAACAAACATTCATCCAAAAATTCCTCCACATGTCCGAGGCTTTAAAAACAAATTTAAAACCATACATCACATTCAACAACATTCATCAAACACATAAACGACCATAATAGTGGATTAACTATTTTCCTGCAAAACCGAGTTATGCAAATATAATCTAATATATGACTGCGTTTGAACACATCTTGTCAAATAAAGCCGTAAAAATTCGAACTTTGTACAAAACGAATTAACCAAGTGCTCTGATACCACTTGTTGGGATCTGTGAGGATCTCGTTATGTACAAGTCACGAATTCAATAGCATACGTAAACCTATGCGCAGCGGATCTAAAGGTTTGACGTAGTGAACTTACGGTTTAAAATTTACGTAGATTTGGTTGTCCACGAACGGTTGACCGCAATTTATTGACCGCAAATCACGTCTTAGGTCGCACGAACAAGATCAGATCAAAACTGGATCAAACGGATGCAAACGGATCAAAACGAAACTTTGCAGCCTGTTAGCTTCCGGCGGCGCGTGCGGCGTCGGATTTCGGCGATCTTGATGGCGATGGAAAGCTCTCGTCGAGGAGGTCGTCTGGGTATGCTGTACGTCTCAATCGGACTTCCGGTTAATTCTGTAGGTCAAAATATATTTCGTTTCGGTTTACCTACAGATCTTCTACTGTATTACTCAATACACCCTTCTTCAACTTGTACCAGTGGAGCAACAAGAAGAAGATAAAGCTCGAATGAGATCTAGAGGGAGAGAGAGGCGTGTGAGGCGTGTCCCATTAGAATAGGAATTCACTTCCCTTCTCATGAGCTTAATGATGTATATATAGAGCTACAGTAGGGACCCTTAGGAGATTAGGAAAAGAGCTCCTTAATTAATTAGACTAGCTGTGGGCCAAGCCCACTCCTTTAATTAATTTAATAATATTAATGGGCCACCAAAATTATATTATTGCACTCCATTTTCCTAGCCCAAATTACATTTGAGACTCCAATAATAATTACTCGATTTACCTCCCCACGTTTAAGATATAATGTCCATTAATTAATTCAATTACTGACAATCAAGAATTAATTAATTTATTATTATTTCACCGAAGCTAGCGCTCGTTCATCACATTCTTATTATGCCAGAACTTAATCCACCTGCAGGGTTTAGCATAACAATCCTTCATGAACTCACTCCGGGGACATCATCAAACTAACGCCCACGGTGACCGTAAATATCCTAACAACACATCCTATATATAATAATATTACCCAAAACAGTAGGAATATTAATCCAACGAACTGAACCTCACCCATGTGAATCAATGTAATATATATTATATATATCTGCCTGTTCAATATCTTACGGGTTAAGAGAACGCAGTAATTAACCGAGGCCTAGTTCATTTACGACGATCAGTATAAAATGAACTTCTCCTCTCTGGGATCCTATTCAATACATAAATGTACTAGTGCAACTAATCAGTCAAGACAAATTGTACAGTTGACACTACAACCGTTCGGATGGGGTGTTCATGTCCATCTAGGTTGTGAACAACTATTCTTGTTTGCAAGTGACTGATAGAGTGATCTTCGGTTCGCCCGATGACGACCCACCCTATCTAAGTGCAGAACAACAGAACGTAGAACTTGTTTAATCTAACATGATTCTCATTCATAAAGGGTAAATGTGTAATAACATGCAAAACCAAATTTTCAGTATATAACACTAACAGGAACTCCACTGCCCGTGGAAAAAAAATGGGATCGAATATTTATGTTAGGAACCATCACCGGAGCCGGATCAAGACCCGCTTGGATGAAGAGTTTTGCATGATATAACTCTAGAGGGGTTCGTTGGGGACGCATTGGAAACAACAATACTGAATTTTGTGTTCGGACGAGCTCAAACAAGCCCGAAACGTAATGTCTCGCATAGCAGCCCGCACCAAGGCGTCGCGGCATGGCACATCGTGCGACCCCTGTCACGCCCCAACAGAGAGCTGCCCAGGCAGACCCGTCGCGGTGTGGCAGGCCTCATGCCGCGACACCTGCGTGACCATATTTCTTTAAATCCCGTTTAAATCAAGCACTTTAGGACTCGTTCCAACCCTAGAAAAACACCTCCAAAACATATTTTATAAGTTTTTCCAGCCAAGAACATAATCTTTCATCTTGGTTTTCATCTCCATTTCACGCTTATTTTCGGATTAAGCTTGTATCTTGGATTTGACTTTCATTCCCGTTTTAATCGTAAGTTCTTCTATTCATTTAATTGATGAGTGAAATTGCTTGGATTAATATGTTTGATTGTGTTGGGCATAGCTAAGTCCGATTGCTAGGGATACGAGATAAAATATTCTTGTTTGTTCATGATGACCGGGCTTGAATTGTTCTTTCTCGTGCGAGTTGTTTTTGAATAGGATTGATAAATTCTGCTTGAAAGTTGAATTTAATTAAAGAGTGACACTTCCACCTTCCAATTGGTGACAATTGAATATTGTTCTTTCGAGTTAGGGTTTCTCATTCTAACGATTAGTTGATTAATCATCTTCTATTTTAATTTAGCAACTTTTAGAACCGAAAGGGGAGAAGTTGTAGACCTAGGCTCGCTTGAGATAGACAATTTCATAAGAGAATAGCCTATTGATTTTTGGATTGAAATACATGCACGTTTACGTCCTTTCCCTTGTTATGAGAGTTATTGGGATCAGACCCTAGGCTGGTGCTGTATGCTTGAACTTGTTCATCTATGTTCAATCTGTTGTTACGAAAAGTTATTGGGAGTGAACCGGTAGATGTTTAAGCGACAGTGTCAATCTTGAACCGAACAATTGTTTGCCCAGTTTTGCGTTTAGAACATAATAAATTATCTCTGACTCCCTTGCTTCTTTATCATTGTTTGATTCGTGTTTTTTAGTTGATCTCTATTTGAATTTTCTGCTATTTCTTAGTTGATAGTTCAAACCTCAATCGTGATTAGTGTTTTAGGATTTATTTTGCATTTGTGTGCGATCAACATCGAATCTAGATTCCGAACCACCTTCCTCGAGAGATCGACCCAAGGTCGGGAGTCATCCCGTACTCGATAAAAATATAATTCGCTAAAACATTGAGCTGCTACCGGTTGGTGCGTACAGGCCGGACTGGTAGCCGGTTGATCCGCTGAAACATCGGACAACTATTACGAACATGGCTGCTCCTCGAATTGTGGTTCTGGCCAAAAGACGGTCGTTCGGTCGGTGTGCTGCACGAACGGAAGAAAGGCTTACCAGATTTTATTTGGGCGCAGCCTAACTTGATGGGCTGAGCCTGAATCTACAAATTTCTTCCGTATTTTTTTCTCTCTCTCTTTTCTTAAACATAAACATAGATCATACGTATGCAAACGTAACAAAAGCACACGCAGCCCAATTTTATCTATTTTGATTTCCTTTTTGTACTCCATTTTCTTTCTTTCCACAACTGATTTTTGGGGACTTTTTTTTTTCCTTTTTTTATTTTTTAATTTTTGGTGATAACAAATAAGTATAGCGGATGAAATTCCGGGTAATTTCTGTGAACAAAATGTTCTAAAGGGTAAAGGGACTGTAGACTCTTTTTTTTTTTTTAGGATAAAGCTGGGGAACTGTATTCTACACGGAATTGGGTAAGGAAGCGAGAAAGAATAATACAAAAATATGGGTTTTAACATAAAAAATATTAGAGAATTCATCTTCCCGTAGAGATCGTTGTTTCCTGACAGGTTAAATCAAACAACCGATGATGCGACCCTTCCTCTAGAGCCAATTGTTGATGTATGAAAATGTCAACAACAAAAAAATTAATTGTATTCTATATAGGGTACTCAGTTCACGAGAATAAATATATGAACTAAACTATACAAGAACAAGAATAAGAATAAATAGATATTTGAGTAATCTCAGAGAGTTAAAATGTTCTTTTTTTTAGAGAATGAATCCTCCTCCCCCCCTTTTCTTCATCATTGAGACTTATTTATAATGTAGTTTGTACTGTAGTACACTTTGTACTTTTAGTACTATTCATTATGTGTAGTACAAGTTACTATTCATGGGTCTGTTCATCATTTGAGGACCTGTTCGGCCCGACATATTTCCTGTTTGTACTTTGAGGATTTGTTAGTCCTTTGAGCTCTATTCGTCCTTTGAGGACCTGTTCGGTCCGGAACATTTTCTGTTTGTACTTTGCGGACATGTTCGTCCTTTGAGAAATGTTCGTCCTTTGAGGACCTGTTCGTCTTTTGAGGACCTGTTCGGTCCAGAATATTTTCTGTTCATACCTTTTCCTGACTTAGAAAAATCTGCAGTCTATAAATCTATTTTTTGAGCATTTTAAGCCCTTTTGAGCCCCCGTTTGCTTTGGCACGTGTCACTCTTCTATTAGTCATGGTCAAATTAGGTATCAACAAATATCTTATTCATCTTTAGCTAATGTTTGAGCTTTTACCCAGTTTTGAATCATTTGACTTTTATGTGTGTGTTATTTTAATTTTTAATCTTTAAACTGTATTATCTATATTAGAAATTTATTTCATCTTGCATTGTTGGGAGAATTGTGTAAATATATCTCTTTATTTGGAGACTTGTTACGAAATTTTTATTTATTTATTTATAATATATATGCACATATATACAACAATTATAGCAAATAAGATATTGGAAAATGTGCATTTTTATATATAAAAACAAGGCATCATTGTTAATTGATCATGTTAAAACAACTGTGCATGTTTACATGTATACTAATTAAAATGCTTATTACAAATGCCATTTGTGATGACCAATAGATGTATTTAGTGACAAACATTGTTTTGAGATAAAGATTGATAAAACCATTGATAACTAAATGCAAATTATCCGTCAGGATTTTATTATATTCTAGCGGCAATAACAGTATGTGACTAAACTCCGAAGTCTAGTGATAATTATGTTTGTCACTAAAGCTTTACATTATAGTGATATCAACTCTTTATGACTACAATCTATAGTTGTGGTGACACATTTTGTGTCACTAAAGAATCAAGTTATAGTGATGAAAAATATATGTGACTGTATCATCGAAGTTTTGTGACTAAATCATGAATTGCTAGTGATAAAATATTTATGTCACTAAAAACATATAGTTAGTGATTATTATAAAAAATGGTCATTAAAACTTTTAGTGACACTACGTATAGTGACAACTAGTGACGAATACACATTTTGTCACTAACTACTGATAGTGACATCTATTAATATATAAAGAGGGAATTATAGTTGCTTGAAAAAATCATGTGGAAAATCAGCAAAAAAAAAGATTTCAATTCTCGCCTAAAGTTTAGCATAATTTTTGGTAAAAAAATGAACAAGTTCCCGCCCATGCAATTCGATTTTTTTGGAAGTCTACTGATTTCCAGCGCCATGCAATTCAATTTTTTCTGAAGTCTTTACTGATTTTCAGCGCCTATATGTTGAAGCCGTTTATTATGGGATTATGTGATGAGTTTATTTAAAGATTTGGTCAGATTTTTATGCCAAATATTTGTAGATATCTTAATAATAATAAAAAAACAGACACAAATAATCATAGAATCCTACCTATATAAATACATTGATTTATCACCTTCTCCAAAGGTGCACAGAAAAAAAATACACACAGATATTTCGAGATACACAGGAAAAAAAAAAAAGAAATGGCACGATTTTGTGGTACACTCAGGGACGTCAATAGGGCCACCCAACCGTATTTGACATTAAGAGTAGTCAACATTCTTGAATCTAATTTTGAGCTGCAGTCCAAGAACAATATTCAAATCCTGTTTCATGATGAAAATGTAAGCATTTCAAAACATACATAATTATATACATTTTTATTGTATGGTTTACGCATAAATGGCATCATCCGTTCTCGAAGCATGAGATTATATCGAGATGTGTTCAAAAAGGCAAAGTTTATGCAATCCACAACTACAATGTTGAATTCAATAATCAGAAGATCAATACAACCGGCCACAGATGGATGCTTGTGCTTCATCCAAAGACAAATGTATTCACGTACGATGGAAATTTTCCTCATCACTAATGAGGGTTCCGAGATTATGAAGATTATTGCATGGATTTCTTAGGACTTATGAAATTGTTATATTAAAATTTTAATTCGAGTTGTTTAATAATTTTATTCCATGGCATTGCTAGGGTTTGATAATATTTATTTATATTTTGAGACTTTTATGAGTATCGATTTGATTTCATGCTTAAATATTGATTATTGTATTTTAAATTGATCTCTATAAATATCAACTAAATTTTGGTGTAATATAAATAAATTAATTAATATTAAAAATTAAATGTTGATTGTCTTTACCAATTTTTCGACAATTTATAAAAATGTAAAAAATATTTGATATATCTAACAATCAAAACAATATTTATCCAATTTAAATCAAAACAAAACTTTGATTTTTACAATTTTTTTTTATATATTCATACAATTTAAAATTACCACATTTTTGATAGATTAATAATTAATAATTTAGATATTTACTAAAAAAGTTTAATATTGAGATACAAATTTCGTTTAAATATTCATATGGTTTAAAATAACCACATTTTTTCTATTAATAATTAATAATTTAGATATCTATCAAAAGAATTTAATATTGAGATAAATATGTTCATATTCTTTTAAATATTCATTCTGTTATAAAATAACACATTTTTTTCGATAAGTAATTTAGATATCAATCAAAATAGTTAAATATTGAGATAAATATGTTAATAATAGATATATATATATATTTTAATAAATTTTATATGACCTATCAAATTCTACTCAATATTTATCTGATTTAAATCAATGAAAACAATTTGATTTTTAAAAATTTCGTTTAAATATTCATCATGTTATAATTTTTCGATTAGTATTTTGGATATCAATCAAAAGACTTAAATTTTGAGATAAATATGTTATAGATTTACTAGGACTTATCTAATTGTAGAATCCGATTTTTATTTTAATCACTTACAGTTTTGGTTAGATTTTTTAGTCAATTATTTGTAGACATCTTAATAAACTCATTCCATAATTATTGCACACGGGACTCACACGTGTTTTATCAATTTCTATAATCCGTTTTTTTATCTCTAAAGATGTTGTCAGATTTTTTTGTTAATTAAAAAGGTATTAATATAAATTAAAAATCGGCTTATTTTATTAGATAGATTTATAGAAAAAATCTTACAAAATATACGCATTTATTTATCTACTTAACATAATAAAATCACATAAGATTTACGAGTTAAAATTTCGTTTAAATATTCATCATGTTATAATTTTTCGATTAGTATTTTGGATATCAATCAAAAGACTTAAATTTTGAGATAAATATGTTAATAGATTTAGTAGGACTTATCTAATTGTAGAATCCGATTTTTTTTAATCATTTACAGATTTGGTTAGATTTTTTAGTCAATTATTTTTAGACATCTTAATAAACTCATTCCATAATTATTTGCACATGGGACTCACACGCGTTTTATCAATTTCTATAATCCGTTTTTTTTTTTGTCATATTTTTTTGTTAATTAAAAAGGTATTAATATAAATTAAAAATCGGCTTATTTTATTAGGTAGATTTATAGACAAAATCTTAAAAAATATATGCATTTATTTATTTACTTAACATAATAAAATCATGTAAGGTTTACGAGTAAATATGCAACAATAATTGCAATAATCTAATTAACAAAGTAAATAATATTTAAACATTTGTATTCTTAATTGTATCCTAATAAAAGACAACTACATGATAATATCGAAAAAAATATTAAATTAGATAACTAAATCTGAAAATATATTGATATTTATCTACTTAACAAATTTAATTACGTAATTTTCACTATAAAAAGACCAATGCATTATGTTATTTTGTATTCAACACACACAAAGCACATCGTAAAAAATACATCTTTTCATTTTTTTATTAGTATTCTTAAGAAAATGACTCAAACATGGGGTTTGATCAAGGATATCAAGAGGTCCAATAGGTCATTCCTCAAGCTTCGTATTATTCACATGTTTCAAAGAACTTCCGAGAATTTCTCTAACAAGAAAGTGCTTGAGTTAATTTTCCATGATAAGGAGGTTTGTCAAAATTTCTTTTTTTTAAAAAAAAATTACGTGCTTATTTTTTTAATATAGATTATTGTAATTATTTTGTATTTTTTAGGGTGATAGGATAACCGGTCTCATAAGGCCCGTTCACATATCTCATTTTATTGACGAGCTTAAGGATAGAGAAGCTTATGCCTTCAATCATTATCAAGCGGAGAGTAACATAGGCATTTACAAATCAACTATTGGAAAATTTCGGATCATTCTTCATAGGAGAACCGAATTCTATAAACTCAAGACCTCATTTCCACTCTATCGATTCTCTTTTAGAGAATTTCTCACTTTGCGTGATATAGACAACGTCGACGAAGCAATTTTGTTTGGTAAGTCCTATAAAAAATTTTACATTCGGAAGAATCTACTTATTTATATGTTTAAATTTTTTAGTTATGAATTGATGTATATTAATAGATTTAAATAAAAATTATTTTGTGTAGATGTTATTGGCTTGGTGGTGGAGACCCATCCAATTCAAATAAAAAATGTGCAGAGTGGCCCGACCCAAATGATTAATTTCAGTCTTATGGATTTGGGGTTAGTTGTTTCGATTTATTTTGTTCAAAGTTACACTCGATTTTTATAGCTTCTTATTAAATTTATTGTATTTTATTATTTTCTAGTGGACTTACCATGACATGTACCGTTTGGTGAGCCTATGTGGATCAATTTATTGCTTTCAAGAATTATTATGTTGAGGCCAATCAACCATTTGTCTTGGTCATACAAATGTGTCGTGCAGAGCCTTGGAATGGTAATTTTTTTTTTAATTTTTTTTTTCTCGAAGATAAACATGAAACTTATTTAATTATAATTTTAAATTATGAGTATTGCTTAACGATTACTTATTTCTTCATTAGGTGAAGTTCAAATAACAACTTCAAAGGATGTCACACATTTGATTGGTGTTCACGATATTCCCGAAGTTCAAGACTTTCTGCAAAAGTAAATAATTTTAAATTTATGTCTTACATTATGGTTATGGATATATTTATATATTATACTTTAAATAAATATATTTTTTGTAGGATGTCAACTAGCAAAATCAAAGGTGTGAAGCTTAGATCGAATAGCTCTTTAGTTGTCAAGAGTGAAGTTCAAGGACTTGAGGATATTGATGTCATCGTTAGCTCTGTTGATTCTATCCATGAGACTGAAGAGGTAGTTTAATATAAATATTCCGATTTTGTACTTATAATACCGGTTTTGTATACTAACATTCCGATTTTGTTTATGCTTACAAATTTAATGTTTTTATTTAAAGGATATGGATACTTGGGTTTGTGCCTCAATCGACTCTGTTATTGATAATTGGTGGTACCTTGCTTGCAAAAGATGCAATAGCAAGATGGATATTGAAGATGGTGATATGCATTGCACCAAGTGCACTAACACACGTGGTATTGCACGGTTGGAACAACATTTTTTTTGTTTGTCTTTTCGCATACTATTAGTAATAGTTCACATTTTTTGTTGTTTTTTTTAAAGGTACAAGATTCAATTTGGAGTCGCTGATTGTACTGCAAGTGCTGTTTTCATGTGTTGGGATAGAGAGTGTGAAAAGATGATTGGAAAGTCTTGTGAGCTTCTAAAATGTGAAATTTCTGTGCTAAAGGTGACTTTTATTAAAATATATATATATATATATATATATATGCTTTAATTCAAAATTAAAGTTTATTTATAATTCTTATAATTATTATTATTATTTTTTTGTAGAATAAAACTGTTTTTGAGCTACCGGATGATCTAGAGGACTTGGTGGGGAGAACCTTTCTTTTCAAGGTCCGAATCAAAGCAAATAGTAATGAAAAGAAGGGCTATTCATCAACTTTCTCCGTTTTGAGGGTTATTCTTGATCCAAATTTAGTTTCCAAGTACAACCATTGGGCTGTAGAGAATGATGTAAGTTTATATAATTAGATTTAACATCTTAATTATATTCCTTTCGTATACAATACATGATTTGAAAATTAATTATGATGCTTTTTCTTTATAGAATTCCGATTTTATGACCCTTTTACAAAGTGAGGAAGCTACTAAGGTTAGTATAAATACTTATAATTAAATGTTAAATATATTTACTTATAAGTTAATTTTATTTTCTTTCAAGTTTATACTTGACTTTATTTTGAATAGGACGATGATGAAGAGGAAGTTATTTCACCGCTTAAGACTGTTCGAGCTGTTAAGCAAGTTAGTGACAAATCCAATGCAAAACGCAATTTGATAGATGAGTTTGCTATTCTGAATCCGTGACGAGCAAGAAGGGCAAGGCGAAAGTTGATGACTATGGAAACTTACTCCCCACTGATGAAGGAAATAATAATTAGCTGTTTCGTTTTTGAAGAACAAGACAATTTTATTATGTTTATTTTGCTTGGATTGTTTTTTTTATGATGGTTTGGTTAGTTTGTTTTTCTTGAAGAAATAATTGCAACTTTAAGTTGCTTCTGGGTTGAGTCTCTAGGAAACATATAATTTCCGAGATTTCAATCGATTTATTAATAAAGTTGATTTCCCCTTTAAGTTTTATACATGTGTTTTTAGAATGTTAAATCTTTTATTTTTTGTAATAGATTATATTTATACTTATAATTGTCTATATTTATTTTAGTTTAAAATACCTTCGAATTTATTACAAAAGTAAAAATAGTGAAGTATTATGCAACTCATAAGATTCGTTTTTTTTTTTCAAATCCTAAACACTACAATATATCTTTCATACTTACAAAAACAAGACTCGATTTTTTTTTTCCAAATTAACTATTTTAAGCATAAGCATATCTCCTATAAATATATTCTTTATCTTATGTTAATAATAACTAATATTCCCTTATCCCATATTCGGTTTTTATCCTTTCCAAACAAACTATTGTGAGCATATCTCCTATAAATATATTCCTTATCTCATCTAACTACCATTCTCTTTTTCCTTATTGTTTGCGCACGCTGTTTATAATGTTCTCCACGAGAATATAAATACAGATACATACAATTGTTTTCTTCGCAAGCAGTAGCAGGAATCAAAGCATAACCAGCTGATATGAAAGATACACATGGTGGAATACATTCGGCTAACAATAAAATCAAATCATGCACAGCCAAACAGCGTAAAAAAGAACACATCAAAGAACAAGGTAAATACTTTTTAATTGCTTTTGATTTATAAACTACAGACTTTTCGATTTTTTAAGAATATATAATTTTTCATCCAAACCATTATATTGATAAAAAAATATTTGGTTATTTTGTTGTTTTTTTTTCAAGGAATTCAACAGCATCAGATGATTGATTCCAATAGTGGAATAAGTTATGATCTCACAAACAGCTCATCATATGCAGTCAATAATTGCGAAACTAAAGAAAAAGGTACTGACACATTAATATAAGACTTACCTATTGATTTTTAGTTGAGAGATTTTCCTATTTTACCTTCTGTGTTGTTGTTCGTATATTGTTGGTTCATGTTTAGTAGCATCATCCTCGCACGATTACATAAATATATGTTAGAACTTTATACATCTTTCAGTAATATTGATTATAATATGTTGATATCCTTTTTCTTTTGGTGGGTGTTGTGTGCAAGTAATTCACTAAAAAAATGTATTAGGTACCTTAAAATTGAATGTCATGGCTATGTCTATCTTGCAGCTGTAATAAAAACATAAGAAAAACAAATTTTAGAATATGTAGTTTACAAATAGGATATAATACAGTATTATAAGAATTTAGTAGAATCTGTAGTACTATGTATAATCTTGTAGGATGTTATGTTTCTTAGTTTTATTGAAATACAAAATCAATAAAATATGTTAGTAATAGTGTGAGGATATATAATTAAGATAAGTTAATAAACAGATCACATTAATTACCAATCTGTTTAGATAATTTATATTTCAAACCTTATAAGGTGGCAGCTCAATGCTATCCAGCATCTTCTTCTTCTTTGAGGCTCTGACTTGTGTTGTTCCAAATGTTTTTGTTATTTGTTGATGATACTCATGNGAAAAAAAAAAAGATAACAATGAAATTATAAAATGTGATCAAATTGTATTTTAAATTTTTTTAAATGTGATAACATTCAGTAGATGAAGGAGACATATGGTGGAACATATCAAAGCATATTGTAACATGTGGAAATGATTGCAAAACATAAGCAGATTTTCTCGAGCTACAATTCGATCAAAGCAATAACACAAGAAATTATAAAATATAATATAAATGTAATTTAAATTTGATAACAACACATATTAGCTGTACGGTGGGGTTTTTCAGATAACAACACTCATTCAATTAGTTTTTTAGAATTGCAGTTCATGCATGTGTCAACCAAATATACTTAGTTCATATTAGTGCAACTATCTGAATCAACCAAACGACTATTGCATATGACCAATTAACATATGCTCATCAGAACGATAACATACCATTCGTCCTAACCAACAGATTGCAATTTTCGAACAGTGCCAATTATTGTAAGCATGTTCAAACTTATGACTAAAAAAAATCAGTAGTTTTACTTGAAAATGGAACAAAAAAATGCAATAACACAAGTTTCGCACATAAAACACTTCAATTCGATCACAAATAGATAGCAAATTAAAAGAAAAATATAGATATGGTGTTGCTTGACATAAATATGTAGCAAACAACATCAATTTCACAATAGAACATATTATTATATTAAAATCAAAATAAAAATACATACTAAAAAAAATAGTGACTGCTGTTGTTACCTTTATCAGCGGTGTTAAAATTTCCGATTTCAACATCGTCGATTTATCGACAGTGATCGACGTAAAGATCGACACAGATTTCAATTTTCACATTTTTTCGATAAATGAAAAAAAATTGTGAAAAAGGAAATCGATGTGCTCGATTTTACAAAATTAAAAATCTCAGTGATGAAACAACAACGATCAGACAATAATCCTATAAAATTGGATGAATTTTATTGAAGGCCATTTTTTTGCAAGAATTATCGAGAGAGAGAGAGAGAGAGAGAAATCGGAATGAAGCGGCGTACAAATCTGAGCAAGAAATGAAACCCTTATCGTGTTTGCGTCATTTTATACCATTTCTACGTTAATCTCAGCCATTAGATTTTGATGGGAAGATTATAGCCGTCCGATTTGAACCAGTATTTTCATTACAATTATTTGAGTTGGGCTCAACATCTGGGCTTAAAAAAATTAAAACTGATTTGGGCCTGAGCATTGTGAATTACATTTTAGGCTTAATTAATCAAAAATACTTTGCCCACATGTAAGACAATTTATTTTAGTATTAAGCACAAAAATAATGGTTGATTGATTAAATACAATTTTTGGCCAACTTAATTTTATGTATTATAATGATCTATTAATTATTATAACGTTTTTATGTTTCACAAAAAATATATATTATAAAATTCAATTTTTACGTGATTTTTGTGAAGAGTTTGGTATGGGCTATGTTGATCATTGGGCTACTTATTGTTACTAACATATTTGGATTATTTTAATTTTAAATCTTGGGCCGCAAATATGACTTTTAATTTGGGCTAAATTTGTGTTCAATGGTTTTAAATTAATATAATTGGCCAATTCATCTCATTTATTTTTTATAAGAAATTACATTAATAGTTTTTAAGCCTAATTGTTGATATATTGTTCTTAATCCAATATAAGAAATTATATTAAATTATTATTATTTTTATATAAGTAAACACAATTGCTCATAACTATTTTCTGTCACCTTTAATTAATTTGTTTTTTTTTTTGGTTTTATACATTTATATATTTAATTTTTTTTAATATTATATGATTTTTTTCATTTACTGATTTTTTTTGTATCCTTAATATTCCATTCTATTTCTACAGGATATACTATACCTTCTCCTGTTACTGGATCTTCTTTTATTCCAATTGAACCAAAATTATTGCATCTGGTGAGACACTTATATTTTTATCAAATTACATTATATATGTTTAATTTTTTTCTGTAGTTTTTTATAATACAAGTGCGATGTGTGTATTTGTGATTATAATTGTTTGCAGGAAATTTTGGATCGTCACAGTTCATTAATCTTACCAGTGATGATAGTGATGACGGTTTGCTTCTTTCTTCAAATTCTAATTATAATTCTAATAATATATTCAACCAACCAGAAGGTAAAATATAATTATATTTTAGGTGTATTTTTTGTAAAAAAAAAAAAAAGTTTATGGAAGACTATTTTATGAATTAGTACATTTCAATGAGTATTATATTTCGATTATTGTAGATATTTTTTTCGCATGCAGGGGTTATTGATCTCAATGAGGATTATCATGTAGCACCTATCAATCAAGTATCACTTACAACTCTTAAGAGAAACCGTGGTCGACCTAAAAATATTTTAGGAAATACGTCCGTAAAAACTGGTATGTTCTTTTTTAAATATTGGATATTGGATTTATCACTTACTGCATTATATTTCAGTATGATTTTTTTTTTAATTATTTATTTTGTACTTATCTACATTTTCCAGTTATTGAAAAAATAACTGCCACTCCAAACACTACTATTGTTGTTGGATGTAATTAACAACTTAAAATTATAAACAGCAAGGTGTGTTTAAACAGAAATAAAAAGAAAATTATATTTTATTGATGATATCACAAGAGTACAGGAAGTCGGTTTTTTGTTCTTGACCGAGATCATTTCAAGTCCATGTACAATGTGCGAAAAAAGAAGAAAAAGATCAAAAAGATGAGGCCCCCCGTACAACTATAAATTCTGCTATTTATAGTACGATCGCTTTTGTCTTTTTGTCCGAGGTAGATAAGATCGCATTTAATGTTGAGCAGCTTCAATTAAACGGTGTGTAGTGGAATGAGGAAACATCAATGATTGCTTTTTGTTTTGATGGTCCAATCGAATGTGTACAACTCCTCTTGCTTGAAAATTCGATCTCCTCGGATGTCGGATAAATGGATAATATTTTGAAGATCATATTCATAATGTTGGTGAAGTCGGTTGTCGGCTTCTGATAGGTTGTCGGTTCTACTTTCAGTCAACTGGAAGTCGATAGTCAATGTATTTAACTGGTTCCGACTTGAGCTAAGTTCAACTATTTTTGACGAACTATTAATCAAATGAAGCGATTAGTCTTTATCTCTAACCTCATGAAGCTAAGTCGGTCATCAACAGAGAGGCCCCCGACATTAGTGGGTATTTGAGCTTTTCGTGAAATGGCTGCTGATGTCGTTATTGTCTTTTAATTCCGACTTGGTTGTTCTCCGACTTCTCTTTTACTTTATAACCGACATGAGAACACTTGGTTTTGTCACCAATTTTGTCTTCAATGGCCATATAACTTTTGGACTGACGTGGCGGTTCTCAAAAGATGCGTCCGCATTTAATGGGTCCAACGGATAGAATTGTTAAGCGACATGGCATTTCGAGACTAGCCCACGTGTAATAATCATTATTGTAATGTTTCACTATTTAGGGACACGTCCGTTACACACGCCGATCCCGGGTTTGGCCAACGGTTATAAATCAAAACCTATAAATTGCTATCGATTTTGATTGTGAAGGGTTTTTTACCTTAGATCTCTGAACTTTTTGCTTTCATCCTTGTGCTCAATCCCTCTCAAATTTCTCTTTCTGTTTCCATCTTGTGCAATTTGTGCGATCTCTCTGCATCTTCTTCAATCCAGGGCTGTGAGAGTTTTGGTAAGATTTTGCTCTAATTTTTTATATTTTCGTGCTCGCCAATTTTGAATTTGTTTTTGTTTTCCCATCGGTGTCGAAAAGATGACTTCGCACGCCGAGGATAGCAGTAGCCGTACGGTTTCTGAGATTAGGATTTTTACCGACGAGGATTTGGAACTGCCTCTTGAGTATTTTCGGTGGGATCCTATTCTTGTAGAGAGACTGAATCTGAATAAGGATATAATTCAAGAGGATAAGGTGCTAGAAGATAATGCGATGTCCCTTGCCGAATATTGGAGGCGTCCAGCGCGTCGGTGGCCCGAACCAATTGACAAATATAGAGGCGAACCGGGTATTTTGACTGACGCCGATATCGTCATGCTTCGAGGGGAAGTCTACGTTCCTTCCTCGGTAAGGTTGTTTGCTCCTTATCCAGGTGAGAGGATAACTTGCCCTCCACCAGGCTGTGTAGGCGTTTTTGCCGATTCACTGAGGTCGGGATTGAGATTTCCACTCCCTGCTCTGATTACCGACTATTTAAGAGATTGGGGATTCGGTTTATGTCAAATAGCACCAAATACATGGAAGAGAATCATCGGCCTTATGGTGCTATTGAAGGAAAAAGGTTGAGACATGCCAACGGTCGAAGAGATAAGAAGCCTCTTCACGTTTAGAAGATGTGCCGACAGGCAAGTGGCCGACCCGTTGATTTGTTACGCTTGCGCGCGGAGGACACAAGGTGGATTGAAAGTCGGTGACTTGATTACCGAGGTCCCAGATTCTCTTCATGGATTTCAAGAGGAGTGGCTTTGGGTCGGCGGAGACTGGCAAACTCCAAATTTTTCTAAACCCTTAATCGATGGGATGTCAATACCCATTGAAATTAATTCTGCATATTGTAAGTTTTTTTTCAACATTTCTTGTACTGAGTTGTCCTGACTTGCTTTATTTTTGTACTAATAGGTCAGCAATTTTACTATTTGCAGCCCGAAGAAAGGAATCAAAACTCGGTGCAGAATTGAAGGGAAGGATTACCGAGCTACTCAAGTTGAAGAAGGAATAACGCAGCTTCAAATTGGTTTTAAAGGATTCGAGGTTGAAAGCAGCTGGTCTTTGCCCTGAGATCTCGGATCCTTGTTTTCAACCAGGTAATTTTCGGGTTATAGATTTTTCGATCTTATTTATAGTCGGTTGTTCACACAAATGACCGTAACTAGGATTTCTTTATCTGCAGTTTATTATCCGCTCCTCGGTGTACTTGGTTTTAAATCTGTCCGCGACGCCAAAGCTTTTCGTCAAAAGAGTCCAAATTTGGATTTTCGAACTAAAGTCGGAAAAAGCAAGGAACAACGCTTATCCGAGATGGGTCGCAAGAGACTGGTGAAGGCCTTCTTGGAAAACCTGATTATGCATCCGAAAGAGACCAACGTCGGTGATGGTGCAACGTCGGTTGCTGCTGCCGAAGTTACGCAACCAAATCCATTAGCAATAGCAACAGCTGGTCCGATTGCCACCATTGTTGCTGCTATCACTGATTCGTCTGGAGTTGAACCAGTCATTGAGGTTGCTTCATCTAAGGCCCCACTCGTTTTGATGTTATTTCTGATGGGCTAGAAGGTAACCGAGAGGCAATTGAGGAGCAAGAGGTCCGACTAACTCGGCAGAGAAAGAGACGTGCTGAGAGTGTCCCAATTGCCGAAGAGCGGACTAAAAACAAGCACGATGTCGGCCAGCGAGAGAAGAAGAAAAAAGAGCCGTTGGTTGACCGATCTTTTTTGCCCATCGATGAGGAAAGGGCACTGAACTTTAGGCAGCCTCGGGAATCGGTCGAGAAATGGTTCTCGACTTTTGAATCGGTGGAGATTCCCGAGATATCGAGTACAGTGGAGCTGTCGAACCATGTTGTTGATGCGGCTCGGGTCCCTATGATGGTGTGGGATCCGAGATCAGAAATTGGTGTGTCTTCTTTGCCGAGTGCATATAAGTTCAAATACGCAAAAGCTTGTCTTGGCCGAGCTCTTGTTAGCTTGGCAATGGCTGAAGATGACTTCCGACTGAATGCAGCGCAAGTAGACGAAAAGAAGCACACCTTGGAACTTAGAGAGGGAGCTATTGCATCTCTGAGAGAGGAAGCGGCAGCCAAAGAGAAAGAATTAAAGGCAAAGGTCGCCGAACAAGATCAACAGCTTATTATTGCTCAGAGTGAAATTGAGACTCTGAGAGCCGAGAAGACTGGTCTCGATTCCGAAGTGCTCAAGCTAACCAGCAAGGTGATCACATCTGAGCAGCGTGTTAAGATACTCAAGGAGCAACTTGCTCGATGTGAATCATTACTTCAGAAGGAGCAAGAGGCCCACGAGGTTACTCGGAAAAGACGGTCCGAGATTGAGGAATTGCTTGTAAAGGACCGAGATGCTCATCGTGCCGACCTCAGCAGACTTCAAGAAGAAAAGATCAAGTTTGCTGAGGAGAAATACAATGACGGTCTTCAGGCTGGGAGGATCCTTGAAGTGGAGGCCCACCGACTTCAGGCCAAAACTGAATCTGACTCCGAGGATGAAGACCGAGAGTTAGAGATGAATACTTGCATCAACCTTTGCTGGGTTATTGAGCGATTTGATGAAGGGCTCTACGACATCGAGGAGTTGCGTTAGTATCTCCTTCACAAAATCAAGAGGCACAACTTTAAATCCTCTATTGCGACTGCTCATATTGACGCTGATGAAGATGAGAAAGACTTTTGTGAGTGGCTTCTCGTCTCATCCGATGCAGAATTAGGTTCTTCTCATATTCCTCCATTAAGTCGGGAGAGAGATGCTCGTCTTCATCGGTCTTTCGTGAATATGTTGCTAGAAACCGAGAAAGAGAAGAGAGCTGAACCCGCCAATGTCTATGTAAAGACCCTGGCTGAGGTAAATATGGAAGAAGAGCTCGAGAAGATGACTCCCGATCAGCTTCGGAAAGCAGTTTTATCATTCCTTGAAAGGAAGGTTTCAGAGTTATCTCGGGGAGTTGACCCATTAGCAGCTACCGGAGCGCCTGAAATTTCAAAACGTGATTCTATCTTGGATGAGCGCATCCCGGTAACCCTTACTGAAGTTGAGAATGCTGCAAAGGCTGAAGAAGACCGGGTTCTTGATATTATCTGCCGGATCATGTATGAGCAGATTGCAGAGGAAAATGTGGAGGAGATTACCAAGGATGAAAAGGCTCAAGCAACGAGTAGTGCGCCAATCGATGTTGAATCTTTAAAGGAAAATGAAGCAGACCTTGCGGAGAAGAAAGACGAAGATGGGACGTCGACTTAGTTTTTTATTTCTTCTTTCTTTCTGTTTTTTTTTTTTTTTTTGAAGTGTTCCCGGCATGTCGGGACACTTAGTTTATTTTACTTCGTAGTTGTAATAGTTTCCGATGAACAACATCTTATTATGAATGAATGACTTTTGTTTATTTCCATTCATAAGTTTATTGAACTCGGAATTTTGAGTGAGTCGGTCTTTTTTAATCTCGACTATCATATTTAGCATGTTATTTTATTTTTGCTGAATTTTTTCAAGTGTTGAGATGTCGGCAAAGTGTTTATTTTTATTTGCGGGCTTCATCAACGTAATTTTATTATAAGTTGATAGGGAATGGAATTTCATCTTTATTCAAACCAACTTCAGGATTTGAATTTAAAGATATCCAATCCATTAATTTGAAGTGTGCCCTTAACCTTCCTAAGCTATTGAACTTTGTCATTTGAAGGTTAATACTTTAGCCGAAAAGGTATATCTTGCCGAGTTATACAGCTCGGTTAAGATCAAGATTATCCTTTAGATTTTTAAATAAGATATTAGTCTTGTCCAAGTTTAAAGGCTTGGCTA